GGCAGCCGCTCTCAGACAAGCCCAAAGGTCTTTGCACCGTCAAAATGAGCAGCAACATCACCCCTCCAGCGCTTCAGTGTCAGAGGCAACTGCAGAATAAACTCCTGCTGCTACCTGGGACCTCGGGTGCAACGTTGTGTGTGTAGGGGTGGGCGTTCAGCTGCATATGGGGGATCTGCCCTGGTGTTTGCCCTCGGTGCTGCCCCACTGCAGCGGGGAGCCTGTTCGCTTGTGCCCTCTCTCCGGGGCAGTGCGGTGGGGGGCGGCAGCGGGACGTGAGCAGCCGCTGTGAAACACCCGGCATAGACCTGGCTCCCTGCTCCAGATTTTGACCCCAGGGCATGGCTGAGCTGGTTGTGACATGGGAACAAATGCTCAGGGAAGGGGCGGGAAAGGCTGCTGCCAGGGAGTGTCCTGCAGGAACATCAGGAAGGAAAGATGGAGCCAAGAGCAGGAGAAGGGACCCTTCAACCCCATACCTGGTCCCACCTCTCCAGCCCACCGGTGCTCCTGCCTGGGCTGTACCGTTTCCTCTGGCAGCAGTGTTAAACGCTGGCACAGCTCCCATCCGCCAAGACCTGCAGCTTCCCACAACCTCCCTCCTAAGAGCTCCTGCTGTTCTCCCCGCAGCGGCCGGAGCAGGGCAGCTCGCACATGCCACCTCCCGCTCCTGGAACACACCAGGCTTTTTCCTTTGCATGTTTCTCCCCAACGCATATTTTGCGATCACGAGTGTTAGAAATGGATGTGACAGACAAGGAGGCATTGTTGGGGCAGCTGAGCACTAGGGCGTTGTACTCGGGCAGGACAAAGGCCGTTGTGTTTCTTCCGTGACAATAAGCAATGAGGGCTTACGTAGGGGCAGAGCGGCTTTCCAAAGAGCCCTTCTCCTCCCCGCCGGTGGGAGATGACTCTGCGGTTCCCCTGCCAAAGCGGAGGTGAGCGCAGGAGCCGGGCGGTGCTGGCAGCTTCACCGGCTCTGCCCAAAGACATCCCAACCCCAGCTGGGAAACAGAAGATGCCGTGGCTGCATTTGGGGCACGTTCTCACCCCAGCCTGGCCGTGGGGATCTCCCCGGGACGTTCGGTCATGCTGGGAAGCGCGGAGGGTGCAGGGCTGGAGCCTTCTTGTTCCCCAGGAGGGGTGTTCGAGACTCCCTGCTTTGCTCTGCTCCAGCCGGGAGGCAAAGAAGGGTGGTGAAGCAGAGCCCACCAGCACCCGGCCAGCTCCGTGTCCCGGTGCACGGGCTGCGGCTGAGGCTGCAGAACAAATAGGGCAAATCACAGACGCGCCATTTGCTTTACAACAGCCTTTCTTTTCCAGGCCCCATCGCTATGTGCTGGTGTCCCATCCTCTGCTTGCTCCATCATGGGTTTAGGGGCCTTCAAAATAAAAAAAAACTTGCAAACTTGCTGGGGCGGCTGCTCTAGGGAGTTCCCCGGGGAGGGGATGCTGCAGAAGGCGGCTGCTCCCTGGCTGCGTCGCTGCGGGTGAAGCGACTCCTTCAGAGTCCAAAGATCAGGGGTGGACACAGCACAGGGAAGGGAAAGAAAAAAAATAAGAGTAAATGAAATGCCACCCTGGGCTGGGCTCTTCCATCCCTGCCTGCCAGGGGAGTCAAGGGCAGAGACCCGAATCCCTGCTGCCGCCTCTGCCCTGCGGGCTCTGCCGGGGGCTGCAGGGAGGGGAGAAGACGGCTCTGCCCTGGCTCTGCTTTTTTCTCCTTGAGCAGACCCAGAAACAGACTCACCTACCTGTTCTTTTGTGGATCACTCTGCAGACACACGATGCTGCAATTGCTATGTAGTTAAACCTGCTTAACAGTGAAAGGTGAGTCCTAGAAACGGTACACACAGGAGGTATAAACCCGACCAGACCAGACCAGACCCAACCAAACAGTGGAGAGAAGCTGAGAAACTTGCTTTTTCCTTTTTTTTTTTAAAATGATGCTGCACCTGGAGGAGGTCAAGGCTGAGCTGGGGCCTCAGGAGCCCCCACGTCCAGCTGTCATCCAGCCCATGAGATGTCCCTAATACCGAGCCAGCGCTGCAGAGACTGGCCCTGGGCATGGCGGCTTCTTGGCTGAGAAGGGACCTTTGGTGGCGAGGATGCCCAGGTTTCACCCGTCCTGCCTTGCAGGACATCGCTGTACCGGCTCCTGGGGCAGCAGTACTGGGGATGAACCCATCCCCGAGCAACGAGGGTCTGCTGAGCCCGGGCTCGTGGGCGATGCTCTGCTTTCCACCTGCAGGACCCACCAGCTGAACATGTTCCCTGTTTCATCCCTCAGGTGCTCGGCTTACTGGTGTGGGCTCTCATCGCCGACACAACGTACCACCTCCACGCAGCGTACGGCTGGGTGATGTTCGTGTCCATCTTCTTCTGGATAGTAACAGTCCTTTTCTTCGTGACTTACCTCCTGCAGCTTCAGCTGAAGTTCTACGTGATCCCCTGGCCCCTCGTGGTACGTACCGAGAGAGAGCGAGGGAGGGTCCCAAGTGGGAAACATCCCGGGGAGATGCTCCGAGAGGACCAGGGCTTCAGGCTTCCCTGCGCTGATGGAACAAAGTCCCCTGCACTTTGCTCCTGGGGAGATGCTCTGAGAGGACCAGGGCTTGAGGCTCTTCTGGGCCGATGGAACAAAGTCCCCTGCACTTTGCACAATGACAGTTTCATTCTGCCCCTCAATTGCTTAGAAAATTTTCAAAACAGGGAGCCCTGTATCAATCCAGAAAGTTACAGCCACCGCGTCACTGCTGCAGTCGTGGCATCAACCAGAAACCTCTCAGCGCAACCTGGGGTGCATTTAGTGAGATGTTCTCAGCGTGAGGGGCTGAACCCTTTTCCTCTGGTTCTCCTGGGGAAGAGGGAGGAATGTGAGACTGAGCCTTTTGCTCATCCCTCATCCCAGCGCGCACGAGTCTGAGCCCAGACCTCACGACCTGCTCTTTGCCTTCCCCAGCTGATGATCTTCAACGCTGTGGCAACCGTCCTGTACATCACCGCCTTCGTAACCTGCGCGGCTGCTGTCCAGCCTACATCGTGGCGGCAGTGGGATTACAACCGGAGAGCGGCGGCGTCCGTAAGTAGCGGCGGGCTGGCGAGGGCCCCGGGGCTGGGGGGCCGCCGTGCTCACGCGCGGGGTGTGCTCCTCTTCCAGTTCTTCGCCTGCCTCGTGATGATCACCTACGGGGTGAGCACCTTCTTCAGCTTCCGCGCCTGGAAAGGACTCGGCAGCAACGCGGCCACCAGCCAAGTGACTGACCACGCGTAAGGAGCGGACAGCAAAGCCCAGCCCTGGGCCACCCTGGGTCGGCTCATGCCGGGCTCGGTGGCTCGGAGCCTCACGTGCCACCAGGTCTCATTCTTGGACCAGCCTGTGCTGGCAGGGATGGTTGATACCAGGTCGTGTGGACGCTGCTCTGTGGTTCTGATGATGCTTCCAGCTGATGTGCCCACAGCACAAACCCACCGGCGCCGTCACCCACAGCCTCGCTGGGAGGACGTGGACTCGCTGGAGGCTGAAGCTCCTGCTCGTCCTTGGGGTTCATCCAGATCCTCGCCGGAGCAGCTCTGCTGAGGGGGCTCAGCCCATTCGGCACACTCCAATACTAAAATTCACTAAACCAAGCCCAGGCGCCTGTCTCCGGTCACTCACAGCTACAGTGTAAGTAATTGCAATTAATGAGATACATAAATGGTGGCAGAGCTGGAAGATGAAGGCACGAAGGACGCAGTCTAAACTGTTCTTGTATTGATTTCTAACAATTTGAAGCACAAATTTTATGCTTTAAATAAAAATCTTCCGAAATCCAGCAGTGGAGTCTGTCAAGAAAAAAGTTTGTCTTGCCAGAAGGCACACATACAGCATGGCATGGGGTGGACAGCAGAGATGTCACCGGCAGCGGTGACTGCCCCTTCCCACTGCCTATGGGCGTTACAGCCTGGCCCCAAGGGAGGAGGTACCAAGCCCAGAGGGTTCACCTCGCTTTGCTTTACATATGTGCACACACACATATATACGTGCACTCACACAGAGCGTGCATCCAATACTGCAAGAACACGAAGAGGTGCCAAGGCTTCGATGCGCTCCCTCCTGCAGACTCGGCACCATACACGCCATGGGGTTAATAGGACCACCTACTCACCGGCAAGTCGATTTTGCACGTTAGCTACAGGTGGTCTTCAAAAATTAAAACTAAGTCTGCAAATGCTCCAGGAACACACCAGGGTGTCAGTGCCTTAGGAGAACACAGAGCCACGCTGCTCCCCCACACTGTGGTCGACAAATTCAGCTTTTATTTCTTGGGGACACAGGTTGGCGTTTGTCAGAACTAGAAGCGATGCCCTGCCCGACACAACAACTTTTCCTTTCACACCCTCCTTGTACAAGCTAATAAAAATAGATGAAATGGGTTCAATTTATTTCCGGATATTTCTACACAGGAAAGCTGGTGCACAGGGAGCTACGCTGCAAAATTTACTACATGCTCTGCATGGGAAAAGTTTTAACAACTTGTCTACAGAGGCTCAGGAAACTTAACTGCATTAATGGAAGGTGTGAATTGAAAAGGACTGGATAAACTGCGTTAGCCCCCGGCAGATCCGCCTTTATTTGGCTGTCATTTGGCTAAATGAAGGGTCAAGTTTCCACAACTATGAATATATATATATAAAAATCAGTAAGAAAATGAGCCTCTTCATGCACTGTTATGACAATGTTAAAACTCTTAAAATGTGAAGTCAGACTTGCACACAGACAGTCCATTATATAGAGAAATTTAATCTCTTTAAAAAGCCCCTCTGCCTGATGGAAAATGCATCGAAGCAGGGACGAGTGACAAGAGTGTCGCAGAGGGACGAGTCATTCTGGGAGCAGCAGCCCCCAGAAAACACAGACAGGGGAGAGCAGCACAGGGGCAGAAAGGTATTGCAGGAAACACAGATACAACTCCCCATCAAAACAAGAATTCATCCCCAGCCATGCCTCTGAAATTTGTTACAAGAGACCTTGCTTAAAATACAACAGAATTCCCTTCAGAAAATAATTGCCCGAGGTATTCACTTAAACTGCCATTAGTTTAAGTAATTAACTGAAACAATTGTAATAGGAAAAGAATGAAAACTTTTTTCAGTAAAAAAATGACAGGGAAATTTTTAGTTTTAGCTGCAAATAATTATTTTAGCTCAACAATTAACAATTAAAATATGTCAACAGGATTCTTTTAAGATTTGATAAAATCTGTTCCTGACATTAAGAAGTCAACATTATATAAACAGACGAGAAGTTAAACGAAGAACTCCAGTCCATACACTGTCAGTAGAAAAACAACTGGATTTTAAGTCATAAATTTCCCTGATGTTAACCTCAGGATTCACATGGCAGGGGAGCTGCATCTAGTTTGTATTAAAAACACGACCCACTGTTTTCGTAATTTTTTTTTCTGGGAATAAACATCTCAGAGCATCACCTCTGCTTGCCAACTAACTGCCCATGCATGCCTGAGCACCGACTTCTGTGCTCATGGAAAAGCTGCTTTTCACAGCACAGGCGGTAGGCAGACCTGTAAAAGCCCGTGAATCCTGGTGGGACGACCCCAGCTGACGGAGCTTCACCGACACGGCTGCTGTCAGGAGGATCAGGAACACGCATTTCAAACCACGCCATTGCAACTTAGCATTTGTAGGGATGTACTCACACTGCCTTAGCAGGTTACTGTTGCTGAAAAGAGAATCAAAATGAGCTTGTGTAGTGTTCACCGGAACAGAAAGCCTACAAAACTGCTTTTGATCAAAACACATCCAGAAGGATTTCTAACCCCCTTTTTAAAAAAAAAAAACAAAACAAACACAAACAAAAAAACCCCCAAACCCCAAAGACATTTCTTCCAATTTTTAATTTTGCTTCAGCTTCTGGCTTTTACCATTCAAATCTGACAAGCATAAATTTATTGAAGGAGATTAAAAAAAATTCTGAAGGAATCGTTTGTTTGGGGTTTTTGTTTGGTTTTGTTTTGTTTGTTTGTTGTTTTTTTTTTTTAAAGGAAGTGTGTGTGTATCTGGGTGTGTGCACTTATGAGGGAGATTTCAACATACTAGAATAATTCCAGACAAAAAACTGCAGAGCCATGAGCACAACGTACTAAAAACTGAATGAGATTAATTACTGCAGCACTCATAAATTTGGTATAAGCAGAGTCAAAGTACTAGGACACTACACTCAGCACTGCTAGCCAGCCTTTAAAAAGCCATTACGGTCTGTCCACAAACCTGTTTAATGTTATCGTATTTTGTAGCATAAGTATGGCTTATTTTTGCCTGCGCGGCTAGGAGTCTTGACTGGTATTCAAAAACTATTTCAGCTGAAGAACAAAGTCCTAGTACTGTTGAAATCACTGTCAGACCTCAATAGGAACAGGATTTCATCTTCTTTGTTCTTTTAAGACATTTCTTTTCCACAGACAAAAATCTGTAATGGCCCAGCCATAGTTTTCCTTTGTCTAGGCTAGGTTCTCATCAGGTGACAGCCACCGATCAACACCTTCACCGCTGTTGAAGGGCATCTCCCCTGCTGCATCAACCTGGTGTGGGACAGAGCGGAGAGTTCTGCTCACCATCCTGTGTTTCTATCTACTCTTAGGCTTTTAAAGACATACTTGCATTGCCTGAGCATGTCATTAAGCAGCAGATTAATGTGTTTGAACAGCATAAGAACAGAGGGTCCCTGTAGCTCCAAACGCATTTTAATTCCAGCCACCAGCAGAGATGTGCCTGGGGTTCTGTGACAGGCTTATGGCTACAGCTCCTCCACCAAGCCACTCATCTATTTTTCAATGGATGCTGAAGAATGCGTTGCTGCACTAATGTTGCTAACCGTTTAATAGCAAAACCATGCCTTTTAATCAGCATGCTATTTAGAGCAGTAAATGACATGGTGGTAAACATGTCTGTGCCCAACCTACCATCAAGCTTATATTACTAGAACTAATGCAGCTGTGCCACTGCCAAAAAGAAAGAAATTGCATACATAGGCCAGATTTCAGTTTATCATGGTTATTTTTCCCAATGTAGAATAGCTGGAGCCTGAACAAAAGTGAATCAGAGAAATTTGCCATTAAGGATGAGACTCATAAAAGCCAGAGAGCAGACAGATTTAGACACTAACATCAACTGTCAGAGCTGAGAGACAGTCTTATGCTAGAACATCTACATATTAAAACATACTCTTCCATTAGAAAGCTGTAGCACTTAAGATCATATTACAGTATTTTAAAAAAAACCCAAACAACAAAACATTGACAGGGAGAAACTCAGAGGTTAACGTATTCGCACCTGTCCTTAAAAGAGCTGGAGGGACATACTCTTTTTACATAGGGAGGGACATACTCTTTTTGATTCTGGAAAGTTCTACGTTTTGGGGAGATGGTTAAGATGCCAACTCGAATAACACGCACGTGCACAGGCCTATTGTCCCCTCAGTGTGTTGGGCTTCTCAGCATGCACAACGGTTAGGCTGGTGTACAAATACTGTGTATTTATTAAAAGCAATTACTCTGGTGGAGTTGAAAATTTCTTCTTCTGTGGTCACTAAATACCAACCAGAATTCACAAACAGATGTTTCTAGGATCAGGCCTCTGAAGGTATAGTCTGGAGGGTGAATGAGTTTTCACCATGTGAAAGCACCTTGATTCTCATGACCTTTAGTGTTTTAATGTCCAAAAGAAAGCAGCAGCACTCATCTGGAGAAGGAAAGTAGTGCATAAACTGTTCTAGGAGGAGGATATTGATGATTTGTTTAATGAAGTCACCACTAACCCACTGCTTAAATCCAGACTTCGACCTTCTTTTTCCTAGAAAAATGGAAGAAAAAGAAATCCTTGACTCAATGCTGTTTTGGAATAAGCAGTTCAAAAAAATGAAAGAGGCAATTCATGTTCTGTTTGTTACACCGCATCAACGTAAAACTACATCTGAGCATCTATGATTGCATGCAGCTTGCTGTGAGACTTGAAAATGCTCTAGCAGAGCATTTATTTTTTCCCACTCGTATCTGTAGGTGAACCCAAACTTCAAGAAGACATTGTGCAGGAATCCCTGGAGTGCGGTCACTGTCGCTCTACCAGCTGTATGTCCAGGTCGAAGCAGAATCTTGCTTACATCTGGTCAAGAACCGCCAGCCAGCCGGCTCACCCAGTGCTCAAGGAACTAGTGAAATCGAGCTTCTGTGGTTTGCCTCTCAGGTGACCCCAATGGTGCAAAACCCAACTGAAACTATTCCTGCTGAGACACGGACTGTCTCCTTCTCCTCAACCTGCCCCTATTTTCACAAAACTTAAAGGGGTGGGGTAAGGCGGCACAGGACAGACAACGCTGACAACTTTGACTCTTTTGCTCCTTTGTCAAATGTGACTGGACAGACACTGGGGAGTGCTTATATGTGTTTCATTTCCCCAGGAAAAAGCTCATTCAAAAACCTTTGTTTGTTTCTCTAGCCTGGACAGAAAGGAGGAGAAATACAAATGGAATAAGCTTAAAAAGCTAATTTTGGATTGGCTGGGGAAAAAACCGCAAAAATTAAGAAAACGTATCATAGAATCACAGGATGGTCAAGGTGGGAAGGGATCTCTGGAGGTCATCTGGTCCAAACCCCATGCTCAGGCAGGGCCACTCAGGACCATGTCCAGATTGCTTCCGAATATATCCAAGGATGGAGACTCCACAACCTGTCTGGGCAACCTGTGCCAGTGTTCGGTCACCCACACAGCAAAAAAAGTGTTCCCTTACGCTCAGTTGGAAATCAACATTCAAAGATGCAGAAAGCATGAGTTTCTGAAGAACTGGTCCACATGCCAGCTTCACTCATGTTTTCCAGAAATTATTAAATGTACATTTTGAGTTTAAATAGCCACCCAGTGAAGTTATTTTCCTTTTAACCCTGTACAGCCTTTGAGTAAATGCTGCTACCTGCTGTAGTAAGACTGCCTTTGGTACTCTCAGGCAGAGCTACTCAAAACCAATATCCATTATGCCAATGAAAATAAACGATGTGACATACTTACAGCTCTGTAATCCAAGAACATTTCTTTGAAAGCCAGAAAGTCAGTAAACGTGAGAAGCATATCAAATATATCACCTGCCATCTCATCTTTGTGCTGTCTGTAGAGAGAAGTAGTTGGGGAATTAGAAAACTGTGTGGTAAATAAACTCTTATTTTAAAATGGTATGAGGTCAAAAGAATACCAGGACAAATAGAACAATATCAAAATTTAAACAAGAATGTTATTATAGGTCTTCCGTAAAGCAAAACTTTAGCCAGATACTACCTTGTGGTATTCCCAACCCAAGTACATTAATATATTGTATTTATGTAAATCCAAGATGTAAGAGTATCCTTGAAAACCAGACAAAGAAACTGACCTGTAAGTGAACAGAAGTAACACTCAACTAGCAATCTATTTATTTATCTTGAGCACTGAAACAGCTAGACAGTCCCTTGGAAGGCGAGAAAGGTTGGGGAGAGGCACAGAATGCTCACACATACCCCTTAAGAATGAGGGACTGTACCGACAATACTTGGTAGAGGACTTTTGGTGAAAACATTTTGGAAGACAGACTCTGTGCTCCCATATCGGCATATTTCAACAAGACTTTCTTAACAGTCAAGGGTTGAGTTGTTTTTTTTTTTTAAATTCTTTAAATCTTGTCAGAAGGAGCTTTACCTTAAACAGTCTATCTTTTAAGCATACTATATTCACAGTATTCACAGTAACTTCCCAATGTTTTATTTAAAAAAAAATTTAAAATTAAATAGATTCAAATTGTAAGATATTCAGTTCCCAATGAGACCTGATTTTCTTATTCAAGGGGAAAACCAGTGATGTTTCAAAAGTGACCTCTTCATAAAGTTGTTAAGCTAAAGCGACCAAATGCAAAAGCTTAAGAAAAAGCAAACTTTTCTCTGAACGCTTTCTACAAAAATTACAATAAAGACATTATATCACAGGACTGTTGAAAGACTACCAAGCTATTTAAGTGTCCAACACAGAGCCTGAAAGAGATAGATGAGACCCAACCTTTTAAGGGTCTGGTGTCAAAGTGACAATGATGAAGAAAACCTTTCAGTGTTCTCATTCTGATTTCTCTTCCTACCCCTTAAGCCCCAATATATTTCAGCAAAACAGTTCAGAAATTTAGAGTAGCACAACATGCTGAAGGCAAGAAAAGTGGTCAGTCATTGCATGCAAGATTTTTTTTTTTTTTTTCAATTAAAGAGGAAGCTCTTTCTAAAGGGAGAGCTGTCAAACCTAAGTTTTAATCTAGATAAAGGCACCTAACTGAGAAGCACATAACTTGCCCCTCAACCAAAAGCAAAGCAGAGACTTACTGCAATGACATTGTGAAAGCAGTCATATTAAAACCAGGAATCCGATCAAGCAATTTTTCTTCAATGTATTTCTCTACTAAAGAGATCTGAAAAAAAACAAACAAACCAGCCCAACAACATCATAACAAATTTCAGGAGCAGATTTCAAAACAGTGCATCTTCCTTACACTGACACCTTATTGACACTTTGCATTATCCTCACTGGGCAAACAACTGCAGATTCCTTAGCTGGGCAATGCTAGTTCAATTATTCACACCATCGCTGAGGCACTGAGCTGAACATTTTTGCTGGGAATACTGGTGAGAACAAAACATCTGTAGAATTTTTCAGGTGAAACAAAGAGAAAGGAACCTAGAGCTCCAGAAAACATCTTTCTTGCTCACAGATCATGTGAAAGAGACAGCAGGCAGTACAGCAGGCAGTATGTTGGCTCTGCTCCATGTAAAGCCAGTATTTTATACATGGGGGTAATGCAGGACCTGAGGTTGGGCTGGCCTTAAAAAAAACCCCCAAAAAGCAATACATGCAAAAAAATAGGAAAAAGTATCTTACATATTCATTAAAAATAGAAGTATAGATGAGCTTGTTTTCTTCCGAGTCATCAAACTCCTGGTAGTGCTTCTCCATAAAAGTCCTCTGTATCAACTGGAAATCATCATCTGGGCCACAACAAAAATGCATCATACAGTTATGAGTTTAGTCATTCTTTTTGTAACACAAAACCCACATTCACTAGTCCTCCGCTCCCCCGTTGTAACCACGGAGCCCTGCACACGTGCAGCGTCAGTCACACCAGTCCCGCAGCTGCCGCTGAGCCACCATTTCTGACCCATCTGTGCGAAGGCAGAGGCGGCTGGTGGAGGGCAGCGCTACTTCAGCTAAGGGAGCCGAACCCGCAGGCAGTGGCACATCAGTCTGCATTTTGACAGCAGCTGCGTATTCAGAATTGAATGGGATGAACACGTCCACCTAGCAAGGTCTACAATTATTTCTTAAAAGTTTCATTTACACTCAGTATTAGCAAAAGAGTCCTCCTGCTTTACGCTTTATTAGTAAGGCTATTTATTCTGAACCCCTTTTTGTTTCAGGCTCTCAAGTCAGCAAAAGTGATTACCTCTTCCCTACAAGAATTCAAAATAATTTTTCTCCCTTGAACTCAAAAATATTAGTGAAACT